CAAAACATTTCATATCTTATAATAAAATGTCCAAATCTAATACATGGCTTAACAATAAGTATTTTTCATGGTCTCTTAGAGAAGCATTCAGGACTGCTAGCTGTAAACCACCAGTAGGTCATGAAATCTATTAATGGGTCATAATCAGCATTTTAAAAAATATAACACACAAACCACACCCTGGGCAACATGGCAATACCCCATTTCTACAAAAAAATGCAAAAATTAGCTGGGTGTGGCTCATACCTGTAGTCCCAGCTATTTGGGAGGCTGAGATGGGAGGATTGCTTGAGCCCGGCAGGCAGAATTTGCAGTGAGCTGAGACTGCACCACTGCACTCCAGCCTGGGCAACAGACCGTCTCAACAAAGAAAAAAAAAAAACAAAAACAAACAAAAAATAATAGTAACATAACAGTATCAGGGTGCATTAATAATAATAACAAATATTGCTTCTTGAAATTTGTTTTCAGTTTTATCTATACAGCTTAAGTACAATGTATTAGGCCACAATTATAAATACACTCCTAACTGGATCATGATCAGAAAGACTGAAAGCCATGCTTTAGTGAACTGTTTCTCAGAGTGAGATACTTGTGAATTCACCCCCCGAAAAAGAAGGAATCTGTTCCCTTTTATCCTATCCATTCATACAATGATTGGTCGTCTGTTTACCAGACTCTCTAGATAATCATACATTTTTATAGCAACGCATTAGGTGTGGCATTTTTCATTTTGCCACCAATGCTGCCAGCATTACCAAGACCAGCCTCTAAGAGAAAAACTGACGAAGACAACTGAGGGGCCTGAGGCATTAAACCACAATACAATTGTTTTTACTACATTCTGATGAAATATGATCTGCATATTCTAAATAACTACTGGCATGAACCAATCGTCATTACTTTGGAATCTATTATCTACTTTGGAATCTATTATCCAAGATTTACAATCTGTGCACTTAACTAATTGACAGTTGAATCTTATAATACTTTAACTGACCCACAATATATTATTTTGAACCTCCTTACTTGTCTCAGTTTTTGGACACCACCAATAGCCAGAATATCTATCAAATTCTTCTTGGAGAACAAAGGTAGCAACTCCAGCTGATCTGGCATCTTCTTCCATGTTGGTTAGCTCTAGACAAATAAAAAAGGCAAAACTGTCACAGAAAGCTATCTTTTCATAGGGACAAAGCAAAAGAATTCAGTTTATTTGGAAAGGTGACTAGAGTACAGTGGTCAACTGTGGAGCTAAGCAGACTGAGTTCAAATCTGGGCTCCATCATTTATGTGCTGTCTGACTTTGGGCAAATCATCCAATCTCATTCCACTGCAGTATCCCATTTGTAAATGAGAATAAGAGGCTACCCTGTGAGGTTGATATGAAGATTAAATTAATTAATTCACATTAATCACTTAGAACAAAGCCTGGACCACAATACATGCTTCAAATAAATGTTATTATGCCGGGCATGGTGGCTCAAGCCTGCAATCCTAGCACTTTGGGGGGCCAAGGTGGGCAGATCACCTGAGGTCGGGAGTTCAAGACCAGCCACACCAACATGGAGAAACCTCGTCTCTCCTAAAAATACAAAATTAGCCAGGCATGGTGGTGCATGCCTGTAGTCCCAGCTACTCAGGATGCTGAGGTAGCAGAATCACTTGAACCCGGGAGGCGGAGGTTGCAGTGAGCCAAGATCGCGCCATTGCACTCCAGCCTGGGAAACAAGAATGAAACTCCGTCTCAAAAATAAAAGGTATTTTCCCAATTAGCTAGGATCAAGGGAAAAAAATTTTCATATAAAGGAGCAGAGTATAGAGGACACTTGTAACTCTCCTACACAGAGAAGTACATCTTAGATTTAGAATCAATCTTATAGTTCATATAATTCAACCATTCTTCCTTCATCTCATTTAGTTGGGGCAGTTCAGCTTTTATCCATTTTACACTTAGGTTTCCAGCAAATAGTCTGAAGCGGACTCTTGCTTTAAAGAAAACCACAAAGCCATAATAATATAAGATTTTGTGTCATGAGGAAATGTTTACAATATACTTGAGTAAAATAAATCAGATTGCTGAATATTATTTACACTGTGATTCCATTTATAAAATGTTATAAAAATAAATACATTTTAAAAAGTGCTGATATAAACTGAAATATGGTTATGTCCAAGCAGTGAGATTTTAAGGTTATTAAAAATTGCTTTATAATTTACAAGTTCTTAAGTGTACTGTTTATTTTTGAAAGATACATATACTTGTATGACCGCACCCCTATCACCACTTACAACACTTACAGTACCCAAGAATGTTTTCTCATGCTCCTTCCCAGTCAAGGCCGAGTCCCAATCCAGAAACAATCAATGATCTGATTTCTATCACCTGAGGTTAGGTTTGCATATTTTAGAATTTCACGTACATGAAATCATACAGTATGTATATACCTGTGTTTGGCTTCTTTTGAGTTCCATCAATATTGTTACATGTGTCAGTATTAATTCCTGTTTACTGCTGAGTTGTATTACATCGTATATCACAGTTTTTTAAATCTGTTAATGGATAGCTTGCCTGTTTTCCAGTTTCTGGCTATTATGAATAAAGATGCTATGAACATTATTGTAGACGAATTTTTGTGGGCCAGGCATAGTGGCTCACGCCTGTAATCCCAACACTTTGGGAGGCCAAGGAGGGTGGGTTGCTTGAGCTCAGGAGTTCAAGACCAGCCTCAGCAACTTAGCAAAACCCCATCTCTACAAAAAACAGAAAATTAGCCAGGTGTGCTGGCAGGCACCTATGGTCCCAATTACTTAGGAAGCTAAGGTAGGAGAATCACTTGAGTCCACGAGGAGGAGCATGCAGTGAGCCGAGATCATGCCACCGCACTTCCAGCCTGGGTGACAGAGTGAGACCATGTCTTAAAAGAAAAAGGAATTTTTGCGGACATGTGTTTTTGTTTCTCTTGAGTAAATACCTATGAGTGCTATGGCTGGTTAGTGCAGTAATTGTATGTTTAACTTCAGAAGAAAGTGCCAAAGTATTTCTATTATTTTATACTCTTACTAGCAAGGTATAAAGGTCTTCTCCAACATTTAGTGTTCTCAGTATTTCTCACTTTAGCCAGTCTAGTAGGCATGTAATAATATCTCATAGTAGCTCTAATTTTTATTTTATTTTTGAGACGGTCTCACTCTGTCACCCAAGGGAGAGTGTAGGGTGGGACCTTGGGTCACTGCAGCCCTGACCTGCTGGGCTCAAGCAATCGTCTTGTCTCGGCTCCAGAGCAGCTGGGACACAGGCATGTGTCTCTAAGCCCAGCTAATTAAAAAAAATTTTTTGTAGAGATGTAGTCTCATTATGTTGCCCAGGCTGGTCTCAAACTCCTGGGCTCAAGTAATCCTCTCACTTTGGCCTCCCAAAGTGCCAGGATTACAGGTATAAACCATTGCACCTGGCCTGATTTTAATTTTACAGGCAAGTTAAAACTTGCCTGTACAGTACAAATCAATGATTTTTTTTATCCAAACAGTTTGAGTCTAGAAGTATTTGGAATTCAGAATTTGGGAGATTTACCATATATTGTACATATACCATAATACATTATGTAGTATCTCCAGTAGGGTAACCAAATACCCTGTAATCAAATACACCAATATTCCTGCAGCAAACTTATGAATAGGCACACTAAGTAGGTGAGCATATTAAGTTAATAAATATCCTCAGGTCACTTCAGGTCAGATGTTACCGCCAAATGAGTTTGAGTAACAACCTAATGAAAACTAAGCTACTTTTCAAAGTGTTTTAAATTTTGGAATTAATAATAGAGCCAAGACTATGAAGATAAATAACTTTCATTTGTATCTTCCTACTTTTTATTACAGACTTCCATTATTAAGTTATTTATTAAATGAATAAACAGTATCATCTCGTTCTCTCAGTAAGCCATTTGAGAGCAGAACCTGGGGTTTTATTACTTTTACATTTCTCTGTCACCAGACAAAGAATAAACACATGTACATGCTGACTGACCAAGCCCATCTAAAGTGGACTTTCCCTTAGAAACCTATTGTGAATAGCTGATGACGTTCACTCCCTATGTACTTTCTATCTAAGCACATACTTACACAACACTTACATGTTTCAGGCACTATCCTGAATACTTGATAGATATTAACTAATTAAAGCCTCATAACAACCGTATGTTGATATGCTATCAACATCTGTTTCTACAGATGCAGAAGCTAAGAGATGGGTTAACTAACCCGTTCAAGGCCACACAGTTAATAAATGGTGGACCTGAAATTCAAACCAGTTCTATATTCTTTATTTATTTATTTAGAGACAGGGTTTCTTGCTTTCATTTGCCACCAAGGCTGGAGTGCAGTGGTACAATTGAACCCGACTTCCCAGGCTCAAGCGATCCTCCCACCTCAGCTCCCCGAGTGGCTGAGAAATAGGTGTGTGACACCATGCCTGGCTCATTATTATTATTTTTAATTTTCTTGTAGAGACAGGATCTCCCTACGTTGCCCAGGCCGGTCTCAAACTCCTGGGCTCAAGTAATCTTCCCACCTTGGACTCCCAAAGTGCTGGGATTATACACATGAGCTACTTCCCCAGGGTCTACCTGTATTCTTAGCTACTCTACTAATCCCAAAAATACACCACATACCTACATATATGATAAAGAATAAAAACACTAGTATAACATCCTGCAGGATGCTAGCACTTTTCAGTTTTAATTCTGCCAATTTTTTCAAATCCTGTGTGGAAAACCATTTTACACAAGAAAAAAATACTAAAAAAAAGCCTTTACTCTGACAGTTATATCAGAGCTTTGTAGTCTCAGCCTCCAGTACAGTAACTGGTACATAGCAAGTGTCCAATGTTTGCTGAAAGCATGAAAAAATGGGCTGAGTGTGGTGGCTCACTCCTGTAATCCCAGCACTTTGGGAGCCCGAGGTGGGAGAATCACTTGAACCCAGGAGTTCAAGACCAGCCTTGGCAGCATAAGATCCTGTCTCTACAAAAAAAATTAAAAATTAGGCAGGCATGGTGGCACACACCTGTAGTCCCAGATACTTGGTGGGGCTGAGGTGGGAGGATTTCTGGAGCCCTGGAGGTCAGATTGCAGTGAGCCAACAGGAGACCCTGTCTCAAAAAGTTTTTTTGTAATTAAAAAAAAAAAAAGCATGAAAAAATGGCTAGGATTTCCAAAATAGATTTACTAACTACCAACCTAATCTTTATACTGTTATTGGTAGTAGAATAGCTGTTCTGATTTCCTGACTTCAAAGGGAGACCCATTAAACACCAAAACCCGTACTTTTAACTGAGGATTTTTCCTACTCCATCCCGTTTTCTCTAGCCCGTACTCTAGTTTTAGGCCATATAACTTGGATAACTGCTACAGTCAATCTTTGGTGTCCCTGTCTCTAACCATGCTTCTCAAATTTAACTTCCACAAAGTATCCAGAACAATTTATCAACAATATGATGATTATGATCACACCGCTCAACTGTTAAGACTTTTCAATGGACCCTCATGTCACGATGAAGTCCACGTTCATTTACAGAAGATATAGACGACCCCTGTCCTGGCGCTCATCTGCCAGGATTTTGCTACTTCTTGACTAGAACTTATGCTTCAGGACATTCACACTGCTTCTAACTCCTCACATATACCATGATGTCTTTTGCATCAAGGCCTTTCTCATGTAGTCCCCTTGTCAGAAGTGTACTGGATAACATATAGACATTACTTAGCATCAGTTGAGGTGTCATCTTTTCTGGGAAGCCCTCCCTGACCGTTGTCCCACATTGGTGCTCTTATAAAACCCTATGTTTGGCTAGGCGCCAGGGCTCACGCCTGTTCCTAGCACTTTGAAAACCTGAGGTGGGCGGGTCACTTGAAGTCAGGAGTTTAACACCAGCCTGGCCAACATGGTGAAACCCTGTCTCTACTAAAAATACAAAAATTAGCCAGGAGTGGTGGTGGGATCTTGTAATCCCAGGTACTTGGGAGGCTGCGGCAGGAGAGTTGCTTGAACCCAGGAGGCAGAGGTTGCAGTGAGCCGAGACCATGCCATCGCACTCTAGCCTAGGCAACAGAACA